GCACAAGAATTTTTCCTTGATAAGCTTGATGTTTTCATTACAAATTTGTCATTTTGGCGTTGATAATGTGTAAACAGACAGATTGCAGTATTCGAAGTGATGAAAAATAGTTGCAAGTGAAATATCCTTCTTAGATTAAATTAAACTTATTGTTTAGTTAAAAGTATCAAGTACTTCCTTAAAGTTATAGTTTTAGTTAAGCGAAAAATAAAAATAGTAGATTCACTTTATAGCCAAGAAGTTCTATTTTTCTTTTTTGTTACATAAAGTTTTAGTTTGTCTAAACAAAAGCTTTTCTCTTCCCCAAAGGGTATTTTACTGGGGCTCTTTATTCTTCATCATTTTTCTTTCTTTTCTCCCAAAAAAATTAAAAAATAAAAGTTTTAATAGAAAAACAAATTTTTTTTATGGAAAAAACATGATAGAAAAAATTGGGGAAGAAAAAAGAATGCTTAGATTTTTTTCATCTTGAACCCAGGTTAGATAGCAAAAGACCAAATAAAGTTCGTATTTTCGAACTTGCAATCTAAGTTTGCTCATGGATAAGATGATAAGCACAATTGATAAAATTATATAAGAAATTGCATCATTTAATGTAAAATTTACAGCAATCTTTTTGTTTTATTTTTTTTAAGAACTTTTCATAAATCATACTTTTATGCATTTAAAGTGTTTACATGATAGTTTCACAGCAAATGTTAAATACATAATACTCTTTATACTGTTTGCTTCTACAAATACTAAATTGTACATAACATGCATCACATGTTATCATTTGGCAAATGATAGGTCGGATTGATAGTTTTAATGAAATATTTAAAGAATGATTGCGTTAAGCAGGTGTAAAATTGAATTTTCATTAATGATAAATAGTAATTATATTCATTCGTAATTTTAATTACTGTTCATTTCTTTTCACCACTACAAATGAAGTAATGAATAAAAGAAAAAACCATGTGTGAATTAGAAAGTTAAAAAAAAAAAAATGTGTTTGAAATACTATCTTCTTTTTTAATAATTTCTGATTACTTCTCATTTTTTGTTTTTTCTTTAAATTGTGACAACATTTTTGGTAATATATTGAATAAGTATTTATCAACCTATCTTTATTTCTTTTTATTATTAATAAAAAAATTTGCGCATAATGGGTATTTATTTCTGCAAGAAGTAGATTTTTTTTTTCTCATACAAAATAAGACAGAAAACGAATAAAAATTAATGGAATATAAAACTTCAATTTCAAGACTAATTTTAAAATGTGGCATAAAACAAACCAATGATGAAATAGAATAGAAAAACAAATTTAATGACCAAAACTTGAAAAAAAACAAACTATCAAAAGCGATTATAGTAATAGTAATAACAATCTGAATTCGAAAATCATAATAACGGAGATAATACGATTACAAATCATTTTTACAATTTTTTCTCTGTTAGATTTGTTTATTAGATATTAATACTTTAATCCTATTTTACCTCATTATTATTATTATTATTATTATTATTATTATTATTATTATTATTATTATTATTATTATTATTATTATTATTATCCTCATCATCATCATCATCGTCATCATCCTCGTCATCTCCCTCACCAATTTCTTTGATTTCAATAGCACTTTCAAAAAGTATACTTCTAGGTGTTTGTAAACGTGCTATATTTCGACCATATTCATCTGTTGAATCACAAATTTCTGTACTTGATATCGCTGTTTTGAATGGTTCAACTGATATTGTCGTTAATTCATTAATTTTGCTATAACAATGTTGTTAATACGTTTTAAATATTTATAGTAAAGAAAAATCTAATATTCTAATAAAATTTAAAAAAAAAAAAAAGATCAATATGTGAAGAAATTATACGCAATTTCAAATGCTACATTAAATAAAAGGAATATCTTTTAGGTATGCAATTAAAATTATTTTGCTATAACTATTTAATATATATTTCATTTATTTTTTAATTGCGTAAGAATGCGCTTGCATTACATGCTAGAATCTTGTCATTTCCATTAGTTTCAAACCAAACATAGTGTGTTATATTTATTTTAGTGCCAAATTTTTTATTATTTTCATATATTTCATATCACTTTGCTTTTCATATGTTATGTATATATATTATTTGATAACAATATTTGCTGGATAAGCAAACAAAAAAAGAAAAGCTGGTTTCGAAGTAGATTTAACGATGTACTTCTCTGTTGGTTGCATATTTCTTGATGTGTCTGTATTTATTTGTTGTATACATAATTGATGAATCATTTTATGCTTTTCTTTTGTTCTTCTCATTAATTCATCGAACTACTGAACTTGCTTTTGTGCTTGCATCATTTCACCAAAAAAAAAAAAAGACCGGGATTAATTGATTTACCAAAATATTAACATAGACACAAAGCAATTAAAATTTGTTTCTGTTAAAATATTAGATATTTTACAAGCAAAATTGAAATAAAAAAAATACTTTCGTCGTATATAACAGTAATAGTTATGGCAAAAAATATAGATGCCACTATAATTAAAATAATTCCAACAATTTTTAAAACGTTTTTCGACCTGAAAGATTTTGTTTTCTCTTTTTTCATCTCTAACATACATATATTCTCACTGATAATTTCGTCATTCGATTCAATTTATCCGCTTGTATTGAAAACATTTGTAACAATACTTTCCACTAAGTTAAAAATTATTGATTGCTTAAAATAGTTGACTTGAAGGTGAGTGATATCATTATGAATGCTAATCAAGTAGCAATTGCTAATAGACAATTTGATTCACCATTAATTTCATTGCAAATATTGTCATACTCGTAATAATTGAAACACAACCTTACATTTATATGCTGTTGAACAAAAATGAACCGTCACCACTGAACTATTTTATAGCCATTTTATAAATACAATCAAAATTTTCAAATATGCAAATTTTTGACGTTTCAATTTTTTAGTAAATTTAAGAGTTAGTCGGACAACCTACCTATGACAACAAGTATTTTGTCGTATGCTCACATACTTACCTGCATTAAAAAACTGGAAGAATTTGACGGTAAAAATTTGTTTATTTCTACATCATTTCCGAAAACAAAAAATTTTTTTTGCATAAAAAAAAAAAAAAAAAAGCACACTTTTCTAGCAAAATTTCTGTGCGTTGTGCATTATATTTTCTCATGCATTTATGCAAATTTTTGCGCAAAACTATAAAAATATTTCAATTCATGTAATTTGTTCATTTTTACATTATTAAAGAGGCTTGTTCAGTGATTTTGTATTTGCAGCATCAATTAATCAAAAATGGATTACCGAAAAACGATGATGGAAAAATTCCAAAAAATGGTTCATATTACAACACAGTCCATTAATTGAATTATTGATGCTAAGTAGGAATGTGTTCTTTAAAATTACACATAATCAGTTAATTTCAATCTCAAATTTGATTATAATAATATGTGTATTGGTGTTGGACTAAGTTTTTTTTTTTTTTTTTCCAGAGGGAATTTGTGTTTTAAATGACAAGGAGAATAAATGGTGTATCAAAAGAGATTTCTAGAATTTTACCACGAAATTTCAGAGATTACGTCAAAAAGAGATACGCAGTGCAGCAGTGAATAAAAAGGAACCTGCACCAGATAGTTCGTCAATTTAATTATTAAAAAAAAAAAAAAACCTCGCAATTTCATAACTTCTTACTTATTTAATTTTTTCAGTTACTGTTAAATTGCAAAATAAAAATGATGACAAGAATGATTCAAATAATTTTACAGTTTGTAATTAAATGCATTAATTTTTGTTTTTAACTAATGAAATGGGAAGAAAATGCTTTTCTAAAGAAAAACAAATATTTTCTCAAATACTTTATTTTATTTCAAAAAAAACAAAACAAAAACTTTTTGTTTCTCTTCTAGAGACAAAAAGTAAACGAGAAAGGCGAAAAGGAAAAGGTAATGATGAGAAGTCAAGTAGAGCTGAGAAAAATGATTTTTTTAACACATTTTCATTGAGAAGTAAACGAGAACGAAAGAGGAAGAAAAAAGAAAAATTAAACGAAGGTAAAAGTAAACGAGAAAAAAAGAAAAATACGGTTTGGTTTAAAATATTTTCTTTTTTTTTTTTTTTATACGTCAAATAACATTGGCATATGCTTTCAAAAAAAAAAAAAAAAAAAACAAATCACTAAGACTTATAGCAAAAAATGATTTATTGTATTGAATCATTTCATTCTTTTTCCATTTCAAGTTTATTTCTTTATTATAATTGCTTTTATATTAAATAGATGAGTTCAGTGTCTCAGAATTTTCTTTAATATATTATTGAATTTTCTTTAATATATTATTGAATTTTCTATTATTTTTTTTTCTATTATATTTTCTCTATTATTTTCTTTAATATATTACTGTTAATGTGTGTTATATATCTAATTATTTAAACTTATCAAGGTAATTTCTATATATGAGTAACTTTCGGGTAGCATTATAAATAACTATGATCTGTATTGTTATAATTTTTTTTTTTGTGAAACCATTTTGAGATTTTTACTTGCAGGAAGAAAAATCGATGAGAGCTAGGAAAAAAAAATTAAGGGAATTTCCGGTTACTGATGAACAAAAAGAGAATTATTCAAATTTTTTATTGGTAATCGATATCAACAATTAATTTTTGTTAATAAGCAAACTTTTAATGAATTTTATAGCAAGTGGTAATTACAGAAGTTTAAATGAAATGACACAGATTTAAACTTTTCAATTCCTAAATCATTAAAATGATTTAAAAAAAATTGCTGTAATCAGTGTTCTAATTTTAAAGATGATATTCAAATTGCCTAATTTATACCACCAATGAAAAATAGCGAATGATAATTTGTAATAGTTAGGGCAATACGAATAATATAATATGTGCTAATGATGATTGTTAATTACATATAACTAAATGCTGATAAGTAAATATTCTTTAACAAAAATCTTACATAAATTTTTAAAACTATGATTACGTTAATTTTATTAGGAAATGTTTGAGCTTGGTGTGGATGGAATTGTGAAGCAATATCAAGCTGATCTAAAAACGTACATTCCACCAGATATGTCACATACAGCATTCGATAAAAATATGAAAAAAAATCGTTATAAAGGTTTATTGCATTTTTTTTTTTTTTTTGATTTTCTAAATTTAAAAATTATTACAAAAAAAATTTTATATGAAAAAATTATTAGCTGAATGCTATTAATAAAAATTAATGAATGCTAAACCATAATAATTATTAAAAACTATTAGTAAACTATTAACTGTAATGCTAATTTGCATTCAGTTATTAATTCACGCATATTTACACTTAAAAGTAGCCCTTTTGCTTAAAGTATTTGTAAATTGTTAGCTGTTGTAATTAATTATTAATAAATGATGCAAGTAATTGATTTAAATGTTTGAGATGATTTGATTCGATTTGATTCGATTGTGTTTCCTTATATTGTAATTAGAGTGATAATAAAATAGGTGTACTTCTAAATTTCCTTGAGCAGTTCAATTTATTATAATATTGATATGATAGCCGTAAACGAAGTACTGTTATCATATAATCTGATGATTATGGTAGTAGAAAAAATGACCATCAAATATTGACAAAATGAGATATATTTGCAGATGTGATATGCATTGATAAGACACGTGTTGTATTGCAGGAGGGAGAATCTGACTATATTCACGCAAACCACGTTAAAGGTGATCCATTCCTGAACCCATTCATTTGTACTCAGGTAAAGCAATAGCTATTTCAATTGATTTCCCGAAATTTAAAAGAACATTTTCTTTTTTATATTTATCATTAATAATTTCCTTTGATAATCGATTTTAAATATTTTCTTGGATTAATAACACACATATTTTTGCATTAAAAAAAAAAGATAAATGTTTGAAAATTTTTACTCCTAACTTTCGCAAAGTGAATTTCTCTAATTAATAAATTTTTTTAATCAAAATATACGCTGATTTATTCAGAGTGCAATTACAAAGTAAGTTTATTGTTGAGGAATAAATAAGCATCATTTGTAATTGACGAATAATTAATTAATTAATTAATACAGGGACCAATGAAAATAACAGTAAATGATTTCTGGATTATGATAATGCAAGAAAAAGTAAGCAATATTATTATGCTCTGCAATATTCTTGAAGCTGGCAAAAACAAATGCTTTCAATACTGGCCACAAGATGTTGGCTCATCGCTTACATTTGGAGGTTAATTAATATATAATTATCATAGATTTCTTTTGACCATTGATTTGAACAAAAGCACTAATCGCATTTTATATTATATATTTTAATTAATTAAAGACAAAATATTTCGGTTTGATTTACATTCAGTTTGATTTATATTCAGATTAAAAGATAAAAATATGAACAGTTCATCTTCTCTTATTTGTTTCGATAGAAAAAATTTTTTTTGCATCTTTTTTTCTTCAAAGATGGAAAAGAGAAAGATCTTCAGAATAGCACATAGTGGACATTTATAAGTAAGACAAGTTTATAAGTAAAATGTTTTCGGACAAGATATGATAATATTCGTGAATAAGATGTGGTGGACAGTAGTAGATAAGATAATAGTGAACATTCTTGAACAAAATATGGTTATTACAACTATTTTTTCAATGAATTCTGGGTCGTGATCTATTTTATAGCCCATTTAATGCTATTTTATTACAGTCAGTTAATACAGCTAAGGTCAAAAGTTATCGTATTGTGTCCATTTATGGTCATTACTTTTCCATTGCGCAACACTCCTATTCTTATTAAATTCATATTTTTTTAAAGATATTTTAACAAATAATTTCTTTAGAAGAACGTATGAAAGTAATTTTTTTTAGAAGAAAGTATATGCAGAAAAAAAAAAGTAATTCTTTTAGAAAAGTGGATTAATTGATTTATTTAGTTTCATTTTTGTGTATATGAAATCATATAATACATACAATAATATTATCTTATATTTTTTTTAATTTATCATTTATTTCTTTTAATAGTATAAATAAATCATAAATAAATATATTAAAAGTGGAAATGATTAATTAGGTAATAAACGAGCTGTTACGGTACATTATTTAATTGATTTTATTGCCGTAATTGACACAATAGATAAGCTATCGTAATATATTTACAGATATACAAGTATCATGTTCTGAGGTTAATGATAATAAGGATACAACCTTTATAATATCAACTTTACAAGCTGAAAATAAAAATATTCGATTAACTATCAAACACATACGGTGGAAAGAATGGTATTAATTACTCTTTTTTTTTTTGGAAAAATTAGTTTCAAAAAAAAGAGAAAAATCAAATGGTATATTATTGAATGATTGTTTTTTTTTTTTAATTTTTTATTACAACTTAAGGTGATTTTTGTTCTTAAGTTCAAAATTCTTAAAGGCCTGATAAAGGTGTACCAACAAGTGTATTGGCTCCATTTCGGATATTAAGAATTGTACGACAGTCGCTGCATCGTACTACGGTTGTTCATTGCTCAGCAGGTATTGGTCGTACCGGCTGTATAGTTGCTATCGAAATGGGTTTACAACAAATTCTATCCGGAAAACCGTTGTTTCTTATTGATATGGTTAAAAAATTAAGATGTATGTCCTTCCTTTTTTCTTTGAAATTTAACATTTTACAAAATTACACAACGATTTTGTCAAGAATTTCAAAAAAAATTTTACAAATGAAATAAGTACATTTAGTATGCCAAAGACATCTAGTATGTGGTGGCATTAATTAGTATCAAAATAGAAAATTCAACCTCAATCTTTCTAAGCTCAAATTTTTATTATGTTTTATTGCATATACTTTAATATTTAAAAAATTCATTTTTTCAAAGAAACTTCACTTATCAAAGCACTTGAAAATGATGAAGAAATTTTTTTTTAAAAAAAAAAAGGAAACCATATTAAAGTAAAAATTTTTATTTTTTAACTTATATTTCATTTTATATATCAAAAAACTTATATTTTTATATTCCATAAGGAAGAAAAAAAGAATTATCAATTATAGCATACATGTAATTGATAACAAGAAAATTGTTTAAATCGATAAATTGTTTGCTTACTTTTGTCTTTTTTTTAAAAATTTTAAATAACAATTTTAAAAATTATTAGGATGAAAATAAAATTAAAGCTTTGCAATTTTTTATTAGCGGATTATTGTTAATTTTAAAGCTAAAACATGAATTTTTTATTAAATAATCTTTATTTTTATATAATTAGCGATGCGTATGAGTGCTATTCAAACTGATGAACAACTTGTATATGTGGTACGATGTTTGGTTGCATATGCAGATGCATGTGGATTATTCAATTCGAAACCTGAATTACAAGAGGCATTCCGTTCTTTTTTTATTGCAATATTTTAGTGATAGTTAGCATAGAAAATTGACGTAGAAATAGTAAGCACGCTAAAATTTGAAGTAAAACTAAACGAATTTGTTTGGGAAGTGGAACTTAATTTAAAATTGTTACAAAATGATTATATTAACATTAACCATTAATTAATTTAATCCTTCACTTTTTGTCTAGAAAGCTGAAAAATTCTCCGATGAATATACTGCTATGCTAGCAGCTAAAAAAGCTGCAAGAGAACAGAAAATTACAGCACAACCGGAAACTGAGCGAACTGATGATCAGGCAGCAATAATAAAAGTAGAAGAGAAGAAAGAAGAACCATCACAAAAATCAAAACAATCAGTACAGGAAGTTATAGAACGTGCGGCAGTGTTAAGATTAGAACCACCAAAAATTGAACAAAAGCAGCCACAACCGTTGCAGATATTTGCGAATGAGAAGCAATCATCGAAAGTTGAACAAGCGCCTTCTGCTGTTCCGGTTCAACAGATCGAGAAATCAACTCAACCGATACCAACACCTCTCGCTGATATAGTCCAAGGACAGTTGAAACACGTCCAGCTAATACCAACTGCTCCTGCTGTCCCAACTCATCAATCACAGAAGCAAATTCAACCGGTACCAAAGGGTCCTGTTGTCCCGATTCAGCAACCGCACAAACAAATCCAACCGGTACCAATAACTCCTGCTGCTCCCATTCAGCAACCACAGAAGCAACTTCAACAGATACCAATAGTTGCTGCTGCCCTAACTCAGCAAACGCAGAAGCAAATTCAACCGGTACCAAAAGGTCCTGTTGTTCCGATTCAGCAACCGCACAAACAAATCCAACCGGTACCAATAACTCCTGCTGCTCCCATTCAGCAACCACAGAAGCAACTTCAACAGATACCAATAGTTGCTGCTGTCCTAACTCAGCAAACACAGAAGCAAATTCAACCGGTACCAAAAGATCCTGTTGTCCGGATTCAGCAACCGCACAAACAAATTCAACCGGTATCAACAACTCCTGCTGTACCAATCCAGCAGCCACAGAAACAAATCCAACCAGTACAAACAGCTCCTACTCCGACTGTTCCAATACTGCAACCGCAGAAGCCAGTCCACTCGGCACCGAGAGTTCTCGTTGTCCCAACTGAGCAATCTCAGAAACAAATTCAACCGGTACCAACAACTCCTGTTGTTCCGACTCAGCAACCACAGAAACAAGTTCAACCGGTACAAACAGCTCCTACTCCTACTGTTCCAACACTGCAACTGCAGAAGCCAACCCAATCGGCACCGAGAGCTCTTGTTGTCCCAACTGAGCAATCTCAGAAACAAATTCAACCAACAACTCCTGCTGTTTCAACTCAGCAACCGCAGAAACAAATACCAGTAATCGCAAAGGTGGTTTAAAAATTGCCCCCAAAACAATTTTGTTTGATTGCTTTAATTGCATGTGGACCAATAATCAAAAAATAACAAACCAACCATTAATTATTTACACATCTGCAGAAAACAACCTGGAACCATTGATTACCTATCATTTGAATAATTTGGTAATGAAATCGTAGTTATTATATCCCAGTTACTTAACTCGGTTACTAAATCGGTAATTAAAGTTGATTCAAACTTTACAGTCGAAGTCAACACAAAATCCAGCACTGAAACCGACTCAAATACCGTCCTTGTCAACAACACAGAGTAAAACATCAAATTATGAGCCAAGTAATAAAAAAGGTAAAGATAAAAACAAGCCTGCAATGAATGGACAATAATATATCGTAAGAAGGATTAAATAAGCTTTGCTCAAAACTATATTTCGAAGATAAAATTCATTTTATGCAATTATTATATAAAAATTAAACAAATCATAAAATAAAGTTACTGTCTTTTATAGTTTATATAGTAACTGCAAACATAAAGCATAAGTAAGCATTCTTTCTCAATTAAAATACTTTAACTTCTGAAATAAAATATGCTTGAATCAACAAAAATTCATATACGGTATTGAATCTGTATGTACTATTATTGAACTGTATCTACTATTATATGAATTGAATAAGAGACAGCATCTAAATGTAGCTAACTAAAAATTTTTATGTTTTAGTTTTTAAGTTAGTTAGATTTAAATTTTCCATTATTTAAGTTAATTTTGCTGGTTAAATTGAATGAATTTGCTGTTTATAACCTATTAAATAAGTGATGAGCCCTAACTAACCAATACTGAAATAATGCAATATCAATAAATCAATCAATATCAAACTGATTGGTAAGTTTCAATAATCAGCAAGCAATAATTATGAAGTAAATAAATATTAAGCAATCAATCGGTGCTAATCAGTTTTTATCAGCTATTATCAGTTTGGTTAGCCAACAGCAGCAATCGATCAGTTAGTCCATTGATCGAATTGATTACACTTAATTAGCTAATTAAGAAGTGTTAAAGTTGACCATGGCGTTCGCCACCTATCAAGCAATTGAGGATTAATTAAATACAGAATGTTAACTATTCATCAAATATCAATTATTTAACCAATTAACACTTATATCATTGTAAAATTTTTCCTAATGACCAAATTGTAAAAATTAGCTTTTACTTAAAAAACTTCTTGTTTCATTCAATTTGAGTAAAATTATTTGTGTGCTAAACAATAAATATGAAATAACACACTGCCAATTTACCATTATTTGATTTAATAGTTTGCTAAAAACTATTTTACAATTATTTCATTTTTTTGCTCTCCATTTTATCTCATTTCCATTTCATTTCATCCATTCTTTTTTATTTCATTTTTATTTCTACCTTTATTTTCATCTCCATTTCATTTTATCTAAAAACATGAAAGCAAACGAATTTCTTTCAAAAATTTTCTGAGGAACAACATTCCATTTTGCTTGCTCTTTTTTCAAATGCAATTTTTCTTCCAATTTGTTTTTTCTCTTATATTTTATGACAAATAATATGTCATTATTGAAGTTTCTTGAATTCACATTCAATATTTCAAAATTCCATTTTCATAAGAATTAAGAAAATTATTTCAACAAATTCCATGTTGGATTTTATTTGTTTTCTCTCTTTCCTTTACTAACCAATCAATAAGAATAAATTTCCCAACCAATTAATTTTATCAAGCAAAATTATGGGAAGATTTGTTGAAAAACCCTGTTAAATAAAACCGAAGCAAAATTTTGCTTATGAAATTTATTATCATTACTGTTAATTTTAAACTTATCTAATTAAGCTTCAAATTACCCAATTAATAAAACGGAAGCTTAATTTGTGCTATATATATTAAATTTAAGTTAGTAAAAATGAAAAATTCTGAAATTAAAAATGCTTACAATTTTTTTTTTTAGTTAAGTTATTAGCATTATTCATTTACCATCACTACTATAAGCGCTGCGTCTATTTTATTGATATATGACTAATAATAATTAATGGTAATTTTAATATTTTCTTTTAACATCCTCTTTGCTTTTTTCCCTTATTCAATCTTTAGCTATTGCAATAGTGATAGTAACAATAGTAATGGTAACGATTATAATAAACAAAAATAATGATAAGAAGAAAATATTAGTTAGTTTCTAAATGTTTTCAAGAAAATGTGGAAAAAGATTATTGCCAGATTTTTAGTTTGAAATTTTTTCTATTTTTTTGTTTTGTTACAATTCAACGAGAAGAAAAAAGGTTAAAAAATTTAGTTATGAATGTGTGCGCAGATAGTTGCAGCTATTGACGCTTTTTCACTTTTAAAATTTATCAGATAATTTCAGCACTCAAAAAATGTAAAATTTGACAATAGCATATAAATTGAACCTTCACAATTTTTCTATGACTTTGTAGCATAATAATGAAGAACAGTTATTTGCTTTTTTTTCAATTTTTAAATTTTTAATCAAAAGAACCAATTTTTCATTATTTCTTATTGATTTGAAAAAGGTATCATATTATCTTCCTCTATCTTTTCTCTAAAATATTCTGATGTTTCATTAAATAAAAACATTAGCGGACCTTTTTTTTCGTTGTAGAAATTAGTATTTTAATATTCAAACAACACTGAAATTACTTTTTAGGTTAGAATTTTGTTACATTTATTCTTTATATTAATCATGCTTCCTAACAAAGAAAACAGAAATTACCGTTGAAGAAATTATCACTGAATAACTGAGAACTTATTTCCTTTTTTTTTTTTTTTTATTTTTCTTTTTTTTTTATAAAAGCTTATTCAATTGTCAGAGTAATGTAATTGGGTATGCATGTTGATAGTTTCTTTTATTTTATTTCATTCTTGCATTCAAAAAATTCTTCAATTTGACATTTTTTTTTTTCATCAATAAATTGAATAAAAATATTATAATCGTTTGAAATTCGAAAAAATTTATTTTGCACTTTTCTCTTCAACTTTTCCCAATTTGTTTTTGAATTCTTTTCTAACTTTGTTATTTATTGTGCTCAAAAGTAAAATAAAGTTACATTTGCATTTAAAAATGCTTTCATTTTTCTTTTTTTTTTTTCACTTCTTAATTTTCACGTTCCTTCCATTTATATTTGTTAAAATTTTTGTTTCATACTTTGTCACGAAGAAAGAATTTTTTAATTTTAATTTCATTTTTTGATTTTTTGAATATTATTTGCAATATTTGCTAGTAGAAAACACTAATATTTATTCATTTTTAACAAAAAGTTAGCGTTTTCTTAGAAAAGAAAAGAGGAAAATAATAAAAACAAAATTATTTTCATAAGAAACAAAATTGTTTGCGCGGTAATTATTATTATTATTATTATTATTATTATTATTATTATTATTATTATTATTATTATTATTATTATTATTATTATTATTATTATTATTATTATACATAAAAATCCACGATAATTTATTAACTAGGAAAATTGTTCGATTTGAAAATTTAAACTGTAAAATATTCATTTCATTTATTTGTTGCAAACTGTTTACTTTTCCAGATTAAAAATATTGTTTTCGTATTTAAGATGGATTAAAGTGTTGATTCCGATTAAATGGTAACATGAATAGTTCTAAAATGAGCAATCATATATTCCAGTAAAATTTCCAGACTGCACTCCAGCTGATATTTCTGATGAATTTTTCAGGTTGCAATTCAGGTGAGAGAATAAAACCGGTGAATAATGCAACGTAGTTTTTGTTGCTTTGTTCACTTAAAAGTGATTAGTTATTTTTTTGACATAGAAGTTTCGAATGCTAATTAATTTGATAATATAATAATTAGAAGTATACTTTTAAGAATAAAAATATAGGGAAATAATTGATTTTTGTGATTAATTATATTTGTATCAAAATTTTTATCAGCAACAAAAACATCTGAATCATTCTCAGTTATTATTAAATTAAACAGCTAAATTGATTTCTCTTTTCTTATCAATTATTGCATTTTTGCAATGCTTTCTATCTCAGTTTCAATTTTTTTTTTCTTTTCTATCAAACGCAAAAAAACATTAAAGCAATTTTTGGTTTCGATTTTTTTTAAATAGATTTTGAAATGAGTTTGTGGATAAAACTAATAAGCTTATGAATATAAGGGCATTAATAATGTTAGAGATAATAGAGCTGATCAATTAATTAGTTTGCAGATATTAAAACTGATAAATTTATGCAATCATTCGTAGTAAATTAAATAAAATTAACACATGTAATTTTGTAGTTAATTTTTGATTGTATAATTAAATCTTTAACTGTATAATTAAAATATCCAGTCTAAATAACCATATAAGTTTATTCGAAAGTTTTCAAGTAAAAATGAAAAAAAATTACCAGAAATAGATAAAGTTAAGAAATTTATTGAAACTTCTATTGTGAATCTCCTTTTGTTTTTTTTTTCCTTTGAAATTGCAACAAAAATTATTTATCAAAAAAAATTAACGATTAGAGTAATTTTATTGATATTTAACACATTTGAAAAACTTTAAATGAAATTGCTTTATCTTAATTATTCTATCATAAAAAGGGAATAAAATTCAAAGTTTAGACAATAAATTATAATTGACATAAAAACCTAAAAATATTATATTTATTTCAAAAAAAAAATACTATTTTATTTATTTCAGTTATCAGAGTAATATATCATTGGATATTTTGTAACATTTTTTGTTAAAATTATGATAAATGTAGAACAAATTGATGATAACATTATTCGATTTTATTGAAAAATGTTTGAAAATTTGAACAATAAATTTACGCATGTTGCTCTTAGCCTTGATGAGGTAAATAATTTCGTTAATTTTTTTTTGATTTCTTTTTGATATAAAAATATATCAAAATCAACTGATTTCATTTGATTAACATTTTCTTTATTATATTTAAGTGATGCAAACTAGTATTATGTTAAAATGAAGTGTAAAACACATAAATTTTCTTCCATTTTTTCTTCATTTATGAAATAGTAAAAATGAAAAAATGTTTTGTTACCCTTTTTTCTGTCTATAATGCAATTTTTGAAAATTAATTATTATTAACGTTTGTTACAAAATAGATAATATTTATCATTATTTATTAGAAAATTAATGCATGCTCACTGCTAAATATTCCCACAAAGCCATGGGCAATATTTACCCGATTAATTTATGGCCATTTTTTCTTGGCTACAACATTATTTATCGTCGGAATATTCTGCTTTTGCCTTGGATTACAATATAGCATAATGTATGATGAAGTAAACTGTACTGATGGTACTAATATATGGATTCCATTACTCAATTTGGTTAGCAAGTCTTTTTGTGTTAAATTTTTTCTTGTTTTACAAAAAAAATTTCTTAGAAAAATACCTTTTTGTTGTAATTGCTAATTGCCTTGTAAATAGGGAGAAATAAATTTTTTTTAACAAAGAATTCTGAACGATTTTTCAAAATAAAATTTCTTTTGGAATTTTACAAAATAAATTATAATTTAAATAATTTTAAAAATTTAAGAACAAGGCAATTCCAGTTATCAAAGTAATATATCGTTTGGTAATTTGTAACATTTCAAATTAAACTGATGAAACAGAGCTTTTATCTTCAGTTAAAACTACTATGTGTAATTTACAATTTCCTTAAGTTGTTAAAATTTTGTCTTTTTAAAATTTTTGTTATACTAGAACTGAAATTTAAAAAAATGGTTTAATATTGTAGTAGAAATAACAAATTTAGGTATTTTTTCAAAATAAATTTAATCATTAAGAAATAGTACAATAAAATTTTGATACAATTTATTCTATTATTCAGATAGTTTCAATATCTGGCTTATTTATGCTTCGTACACTTCATTTGCATTGGCCAGCTTTTATATATTGTCTGGGCTTATGCATTATGCTAATTATGAATCTTGCAACTATTACTGACAGTATTTTGGCTTCGCTACGTTGGTATCACGTAGCTTGGAAGCCAATTGATCAATGGGCATCAACTTTTTCATGGATTGACATAGCTCTTGCTATCTTAGCCGTATTAAATGGTAGGGTTCTTTTCTTTTTTTCATTTATTTGAAATGAAAAATGCATGAGAGATATAAATTAGTATTTATTCATATTAATCAATCAGTATTACTGTTACTGAGCATTGAGCAGAAATATGTTATTCAAATTAATATCATTAAAAATAAATAATGTTTTTTCTTTTTCTTTCTTTTTTTCTTTCTTTTTTTTTTTTTTTTGTTATCAATCGAATGTAATTAAAAATATTTGCAGAAATCATATGTATATGCATTTTGGTACCATTTGTAAAGTACTGGTATCAACCAACCACAAGTAGTAATTGACATTTTGAAGTAAATAAATTTAATTTTATTCAATTCCTTTTCCTTGAACATAAAACTCTTATTAAACATTTGTAATTAATTTAACGTTAGGTGTGTTCTGCATTCATAATATTATCAACGGTTATTCAGTGATTATAACTATTACTGCTGAAAAGAATAATTTTTGGAAAATATGAAAATTAATCAATCAATTTTTATGCCTCTCTTTCTTCTGGCAGGTAATATTAAAACATTGTAATTAATAACATTGCAAAAAAAAAAAATATCGTAATTTTTGTTAGAAATGTTTTAAAATTATTTTGGAATAGAATGATATTTTCCATTTAGTGTTTGTTCATATATATTACAGATTATTAAATTACAAATGCATTAAAGTGTATTATCACAATTATTTTTATTATTATTATTACATATTATATTTTCATTTGCATGCATTATATTATCATTATTTTCTTACTTTTTATTTTGTTTGACTTCGTTTTTAACCTATTTTCTAAACTTTATCATTTCCGTCTTTTATGATTGAAATTCTGATCAATGGATTTGATAAGACGATTGTTTGCTGCAACATCGTTTATTAAATATTAATGTTGGATCCATTCTTTATTATCGATAACTCATGCGTGACTATCATTGTGGTTATCATTTTGATAGTTGAAATTTTCCTTGTATTCTTTCCTTTGCCTTTTATTTTGTACATCTGAAAGCAAAAAAAAAAAAAAAAAACAAATAAATAAAATTAAGCGAACGTAATTGTTCTTAAAATACAACTAAACTTAGCTTGAAATAATTTAGGTAATCAGGTCGAAATATACTTTTAGTATGAGCGGAGGAAGAGAACGATGAAGAGGAAGGAACAAAGATATGAAAAAGGGAGTGACATAAAAAGTATAAAAATTTTCTTTTCAATAATTCATTTAATCTTTAATTTATGATGATTTAAATCAACATTATACAAAAATGACATATTCAGACGAATAGTTAGAGATTTTCGCTACTAGATAACTACCTTTTTTCTTGATTATTATTTAGATATTTGTTTACTTTTTTAGTTTGTCAACAACAAAAGTTTTTTACCGGTTTTTGATAGCCGTTTGTTTACTTTTTTTTGCCTTTATCACGAAAATTACGGTAATAATGTAATGATTTTTGGATTATTGACAAATTGAAAAATTATATAAAAATTTGAATTATTTACAAAGTTGCTTACTTTCTGGAAGCATTCCAATGTGAAGACATCGTTTCATGCGACAACTACGGCATATCTTTCGATAGCCAGTGGCTGAAATTTCAATATAAATAGGATAATTGAAATTTAGAAATATGCAGTTGTCATATGCTTATATCTTAAAATGCTTCAAAAAAAATTACTTGGAAAATTAAGATTTGATTAAAAAATTTTTTTAACAATATTATTTCAAAAATATGTCATAGTGATTAAACATTATCATCATCACCATCATTCTCATCGTACATACCGTAATTTAACTTTACATCACAACGCTGTGATCGCTTGCAAATGTAGTTCTTTTCGTCGCTAACTGTTCGTCTGAAATAAACATTAATGTTCTGAATTTCTTCAGTATAATGAAGATCAAATAATAAATTAGTATTATTTTCGAAAATGAAATTCTAAAATTAGACAGCAATTTAAAACTTGACAGTATGTCATTGAAATTGAAATGATAGAAAAGTCTAGGACTGGGCATAGTAACTTCATCTTAGTGTATGCGATGTTAATTTAGAAAAATGAATAAGACAAAGTATAAGAAAAATAAAATATTAAGCTAAAATTTAAAAACATTAAGTATTTATAACTGATACAATCAAATATTTTGAACAAAGAAAGGAAAATTGAATATAAAATCAAAAAATTGATATTATGAAATATGGCGAATAAAAAAAATTGAATTGTTTAAAAAATTGGATAAAATAATAATTATATTTTGCTAATTATTATTAGCAAAAAAAAAAAAACAAGTTAACCTGAAAAATGCAGCACATGCAGCGCATGTTTTTGCTCCAAAATGCGATCCGTTTGAGGCAGCAGCAAGACAAACCTGACATAGTTGTTCTCCGGTTGTTTTCTTTGTTATAACTGAAGAAATTGTCCGTGGTGCAGATTGTTGGGGTATGGAAGGAGTTGATAGTGTATTAGATGTGTCAAATGATAGTAGCGGATAGCTGAAGACTTAATTAAAATTGAAAATATTTAAGAGATAAATTGAAACAAAATTAGAAAAAATTTGAAATTAAAAAAAAAAAATAAGAAATTTTAATTTGAAATGATATGGAAAATTACCAGAGAGCAAACGAACGTTTTCGGATTACGACTACTTATTTAAGTGTGAATTGTTTTTTTTAAGATTGTAGATGGATTGTTATCGTAATCATATCTATGTATTTACGATTAAAATTTGTGTTTTTTTGAATAGCAATCTTAATGAAGCAATTTTATGCTGTAATTCGACTGAAACTAGCAGAGATGCACGAAGGAAACCTAATGTAACATGATTGTACTAGCACTTGAAAATATCTAATGGAGGTTATACGGTAGCCGAAAGAATACTGTAAAAGATGCTGATTGAAAAATTGAAATTGAACGGATACTGTAGATGAGATGTTTGAGATCGGAAGAAGTTTGATTGGCATAATATTTTGTTTGAAATAATATTGCAGATGGAAAGATATACAGAGATATAATACTGTAGTGGAAGAACAGCGTAAATGAGATCTGAAGATATAAATTATAATATAATAAATTTAAAAGATTTTAAAGAAGAGATTTTCTTATATACTTATCTAAAAATCAAGAAGTTTTGAGCAATATATACCAATTTATATTTGAAATAAGCAATATATACCAATTTATATTTGGACATTACCTTTTCCTTGTGAAATAATTAAAGCAAATTTTATGGCTTTTGTTCCCTTTCTTTTTAATTAAAAAAATTTTTTAAATTGGTTGTTTGGGATAAAAATAAAACAAATGAAATAGCATAACTATTTGCTAAATAACTATCTGCATTCGTTGTAACACAACGTTTATTTAATGATAAAATATCCGTTTGATTTATCTTTGCATTCATCACCATTTTAAATTTGAAATTTGTAAATCTTAATTGTAAGCTTTATAAAAATATAATACCAAAGTTGATATACCTTTGTTCAGAAGAAAACCTCGTTGGTAATGGTACGCTGAAATCTTTGACAGTATATGGATGAGAGCTTGAATAAATTGGTGTAGTTGCTGTTTTTATCATTTGTCGTACTGGTAAAGTGGTAAAACTACTGCTGGAATCCTAAAATAAACTTGCATATTTAGATTTTCACAATTTTGTATGTATAGAAAAATGAAGAAAAAATTATTTTGAAAAAAGTAATAAAATTTTTGTAGAATTATTTTTGTTTTTTTTTTTTTTTTTTTACAAATTTATTTTAAAAGAAAAACATACTGAAAATATGAAAGACTAATGTAACTCACTTAAATATCAATGCACCATAACTTTAACATATTAGCTGGAATAAATATTGATATTTTAATCTTTAAAATGAAATATGGTGATATGATATGCAACTAGTTTTATGATAACGCGTTTTATCTAACTGACATGAAGCCAATTCTTATCAGCACCATTAAAGCATTTATTACGTAAAATTTTACAGGCTTTAGTAAAATGTCAGATCATCTTAATGACAACATTCATATTCCCATGCATCAGTGAATCTAATAAAGCATGAATATATTAATGATATATGGTCAGTTATTTACAAAATAGACTACCAGATATTATCCTTTAAGGTTTTACTTGAAATTATTTTCTACCGATTATAATATCATACTAAAATTTGGTACCGGAATCGGTGATAATGGCACAATGCAATGTGGTGCAGTAAAATTATTGCTAACAGTTTGTCCGATATTGGTGCAAAATGTTGGATCATAATCCCAAAATAAGAATGATGACGTGGTAGCATCACGTATAGGATCACGTAAAACTGGAATAGGCGCACTTTCAACATGATAATGATATTCATCATGTTGAGATAAAGTGAAACCATGTTGCCAAATATTACCACAATTTTTATTATCCATTCTTCTCCTATTTTTTTTTTTTTTTGTTGCAAAAGTGGATCTGAAAATTTTAAATTCACATGTTCCAATATTTTTATTAAAAATAAAAGACACAGTTGAATAAACAAATACGAAGGACTCGATTCATAATTAAAAAAATATTTTAAAATACTCAAATGATCTTAGTATATTTTAAAACTAAAAATCTCAAAAACAAAAAAAATTGAATTTGGAACTTTCAATTATTCCCTAATCTTTATACTTTCCTTTTTGCTTTTTCCCTGTCTTTTTTCTAAATTGCACAGCAGTGTTTTTTATTTGCAAACAAAAATATGAAAATAATCTTACTTAGAGCTTACATTGTAATTCAGATTACTAAATTAGGTCAGTGTTAATTAATTATATTTACTTATTTTTATTTTGAAGAACTAATTTAACAGTTGTTTATCATGCGCATAATTAAGATTTTGCTTAATTAATTGATTCTTTTAAATTTGTCGCAGTATTTTGCTTTTAAATTAATCCGTTGTACAAGCTTTTATTGACCATACATTATATTATGTACATGCTCAAAATACTACAAATTATATAAATTTCACTTGAGTGCAAATTTTATAGTTCAGTTTGTTGTAACAACTTTAGCAACAACAATATGTATTGTAGTCCTTATACTTCAAATTATGGGCCTATTAAAAGATTAACAAATATGCTTGCATTAGTTTATCAAATAATTCATTTTACTAGGAAACAAATTGGAGAAATGAGAGAAAAAAAGACTGCAAACTTTAAATTCAATAAATACAAATTTTGAGATACAAAAAAGAGGAAGCTACTCGGTAAAGGTATAATGAAGCGAAAAGCTTGAAGAATGATTTAGCAACATATAGCAATGTGCTAGAATTACTATGCATTATGTAGTAGTAAACTATTAGTTAGTATTATTAGCAACACATAGATATTAACGAGGTTACTTTTAATTATGCAAAAATATAACAATCATGGAATAACAACAAGGCATATAAAATAAATGTGCTAATTATAGGAATGATAAATTAATCAGGGAAAGGTGCATTTCTATGGTGACATATGATAATTTTGATCATGTATTATATTGCCTATATCCTTTATTTCACAAGTATCATCTTATGTTAATTAACAAATAATAATTGTAAATTATTATTATTATTCTAACATATGTTTGAAAATATCTATTTAATCTATCTATCTAATTTATTCAATTTATCTATCTATCTAATTTATATAATCTATTTAATTTATCTAATTTATCCAATCTATCTGTCTATCTGTCTACGTGTACAGAGGTTTTAATTAATATCTATATGTGCAATGGTTTTAATTTATATATACATTTATTTGATGTATATTTAAATATGCATTTTCGCGCAAAATTTTTCTTCTTGTTTTCGATGTTTAAATTTACCATTTTAACCAATTCTTTGTTCAGTAGTCTTTTTAGATTTTATCATGTTAAAACATTCCAATCTATAACTTTCATAACTGATTCACTTTTAATTCCCTTAATCCACGAATTTATTAAACCCTCAATGATTTTTTTATTTGAATTTATTTGTCTGAATTTTTGACTTTTTGTAACTTCTTTTTTTTAAGTTGTGATAAATAATTGCTGCATAATTGCGCCATTTTCGATCTTTTGTTCATCTAAAAGTCTAATTGATCATCGCTAACAACTGATGATTTTAACTGACCCTATCCAAATTTTTGGTTTCATTTTATTAAAGTTTTGTAATCAATCAAATCGTTTGCATGATTTATTTTGAACACAATGCAAATTAACTTTTTTGCTTCTACTATAAACATTTCATTTTTTTATCTCTTCCTTTTTTGAAATACATGCCCAAATATCATTACAATACCACTTTTTAACTCGATTTTTTTGTGCATATTTTTTTAGTGAATGTTTGGTAAGCTATAAAATTTATTCTTCAATTTCCATTTTGATCGAACAAATGGTTATTTTTAGAATTCATAAGTTTTCAGCTAACAAATGCGATACATTTTTTTCTCTGCTTAAGCAATTATGGTACAGCATTCATAAAATATAATCATTTAATCAAACAAATATTTGTATTTAATATGCAAGTTTTATACAACAAAGGCGTGAAAAAGTCTCAACTGACAATAAAGTTAATAATGATAAATTGTATTGGTTGGCAATAAGTTACCAAGGAAACAAAATGATTCATTTCAATCAAATAATTATTTGTCGTATATGCTAGATGCTGAAATACGCAAGCAGAAAAACATCACTTTGCACAGCATTTTAAATTATCATCTGTCATGATGGTGCATTGATTATTTATTATAAGCTAACTGTGTCAATAATTTTAAAAGGTTAAAGATCGAATGAATTACAGTTTTTGGTTATTCACTCAAATATAGTGGGGAAAAATATTTTTTTGATGTTTTTCAACAATTTTATTCATTCAAAGTTGCATTTCAAATAATGAAATGAAAAAAATATTGAAAACGCATAATTAACAAATAGGATCACTTGAATTGTTTTAGAAATCCATTTATTATTGATTTAAAAGCAGTGCGCACAATTGGAATTAATCACAAATTTTTGAATTTTATATATTCGATTAAATCATTACATATCACATGATTTTTTCATTTAATGACAATGGCTTGGCTGTTGAAATTTTCGGCAAAAAAATTTTTTTCAGACTGGACAAATGTCTATGTTTTAATTTTTATTCAGTTCATGTTCACCCCACTTCATGTCTCGAAAAAAAGAAGTTAAATGAATTAGTGCTGAAATTTATATCGTCAAATCAGATTTTATAACAAAAGAAGAATATCGATGAAATCATTTTGCTGTTAGTCATTTCAGAAGTAAATAGTGTCATATTCTACATGTTTACAAAATATGAGTAAGTTTAAAAGGAAAAAAAAATGCGATGAAAATATTTTTTTTAAACCAAACGAAGAGGAAATTTATGAGATAGAAGGAAATGGAAATATATTAGGGAGTTAGAATTGCTGAAGCAAATGTCAGAAGTCACAAAAAGAAAAAATTTGTCTGGACTATTTCCTTTGTTTCATTATCCATCATAAACGATAATATCTCAGCAACCTTCTCATTATAGTGGTTTAACTCAATTAACAAGTAAAAACTACTTAAAACAATAAACTGATAAAAATACTTATATATCAAATGAAATTAAAGTATTGTTAGGGAGGAAAATTTAAGTTAAATCATATTGGATTCAAAATGGAAGCGAATCAATGAAATCAGAAGTATCTATATTCCTTCATTTTCTCCAACACTGTATACGACTGGAAGCTAACAGACCATAATGAATTATCATAAATTCTGCTTGAATTTTATTATCCGTGCACAGAAAATTCTCTTAGTATGCAAAAGTTTATATTTCAAAAACTTCAAAATATCAATGAATAATTTGAAATACTATTCTGTTTTTATGCAGCAAATATTCATGCGCCTAAACTTATATATCTAACAAGTGTTTCAAGAAAAAATATTTGATGCAAATGAAAGTAAGAACCATTATTTGGCCTGATCTTAAACTGTCTCAACTCGTCAGTGCTAAAAAGAACTCGCAGTTCCTAATATACGCTTAAACTCCAATATTTTGCTTAGATTTTATATCTTTGAAATAAGAAAGCATTTTTCAAAAAAGTTATCTAATATAAAAAAATTACCACCGTTTTTTTTTTTAGATAAAACTTCCATAATTTATTCAGTGTAAAATACAATCATACAATGATAGCAATTAATCAAATACATGCCAGAAAAATTTTCATAGTATCAGTTCGAACGGATTCTTATCAGTGATATTATTTGTCGGAAAGAACGGAATTATAGTAATATGTAGAAATAAACCTGTGTTAAATCATAAGCTAAATTGTCTTAATTAAATTTCTTGGGATAAATGTTCCAATCTCATGTAGGAAATCATTCATCCAGTATTCATCTATCAATTATACTGAAATTAGTTCATCTTTGTATTGTTTGCTAACAAAGAATATATGTTGAAATTTGCTTCCAATTAAATTGTTTACAAGGTCACCAGTTCCATATTAAGCTGATCTTCTTTGCTGTTTGTTGGTTCATCAGTAACTGTAAATTATAATTGGATTTGAGAAGGTTAACAGCTTTTTGTTTAGCTGATGCATCTTGTCATGTTAATGCTTACTATAGAAGGAACTTATTCTCGTCCATTCATTTAAATCCAAATTTTTTTCTCCCTCTTCACTTTATATTCGTAGATAAACTCTAAAAAAATTGAAAAAAATGTTGTTAGCATAGAATAATAATTATGTACCGTAGTTGTTAAAAGTACCTTGTTCCAACTCGAAACCACAAACAAGAAAGACTCCTCAGGAATGAAATACGATCTTGGCTAATACTACCACAGTATTTATCCGGCTAAGGAAAGTTAAAGAAAAATGACACAAACAACGTCTCTGGATCAAACTTTGATAGCGGAGCAGTAATAAGAGTTTTATCAAGAAAACGAATAACTGAAGGCAAAGTTCAAAGATTTCAACTTTGCATCAATATGCTGCTGCACTCAATTATATCCCGAAATCTACTAGCACAACAAAAAGGAGGAAGAAATGTCGTGGAAGAAAAGTATGAAGGAGAAAGGAGAAGTGGATTATGTCGAATGCTCCTTGAAGGTAAAGAAGTGTGAATCTCATGCGAATCTCACAAGAATTACTGCAACCAAAGAAGCAGTCAAAACCCGTACCCATCTCACATACCCATTTCGTAGTCAATCTTCCCAATTATTGTTACCCACTTTTAGTGGGAACCTAGACAATGGCGGCAGTTTTGGAGTAGTTTCATTGCTGTAGTCCATTCATAAGCAATCCCGGAAATTCAAAAGCTGCATTATCTGCATTCATGTTTAAGTAGAAAAACTTTGCAAATAGTAAGATACCTTAGGAAACTACGAAGTCATAAGAAGACGGCTAGGAGAGGAACACTCTAATATTGAATGTCAAAAAAC